CTGTCTCTCTCTCAAAATAAATAAATATTTTTAAAAATTAATAAAATTTACAAGAAGAAGAAGAAGAAGAAGAAGAAGAAGAAGAAGAAGAAAGGAGAGGACACAAGACCATAAGCTGAAGCCCTGGACAGGAGGCTGTGGCGATCGATATTCCAGGTGAGAGATAATGAGGCCTAAATGGGGGTTGTGGCGGTAGGGATGGAATGGAAAGAAACTGAAGTGGTCCAAGGGATGGATGGACAGACGGACAGATGGATGGATGGATGCAGTGGAGTCCTGAAGCGGGCTCACGTTGGCTCATGACAGCGGATTGTGAAATTTGGGGGCGATTCTGCCTACTGCCTTTTATTTTTTTATTTTTTTATTTTTTTCAACGTTTATTTATTTTTGGGACAGAGAGAGACAGAGCATGAACGGGGGAGGGGCAGAGAGAGAGGGAGACACAGAATCGGAAACAGGCTCCAGGCTCCGAGCCATCAGCCCAGAGCCTGACGCGGGGCTCGAACTCACGGACCGCGAGATCGTGACCTGGCTGAAGTCGGACGCTTAACCGACTGCGCCACCCAGGCGCCCCTCTGCCTACTGCCTTTTAAAAAGCCATGAAAAAAAAGTTTCATAAACTTTTAGCCAAATTATTACCACAAAAGGTAGTGGCCTGTTTTACTACATTTTGCTATTGTCTGTGCTTCTGAGGTTATTTACCTCTCTTGTATTTGTGTGGTGAAAATCCCACCTAAGCCCTGCTACTGCTCCTCTCTTCTCTGCCCAACTTCACATTCGGTGACATCACGTTGGTTGCTTTAAAGCAGCCAGTGAAAGAATTTACACCATGGGAATCAGCAAAAGCTACAAATCAGGGCTTTTTTGACCCTGATGTGCTGGTTGTTAAATAGGTACCAGTACACCACTGGATCAACAAAGAAACGGATGGGACAACAGACAAGGAAGCCACTGGAGGCCGTGCTTTGTGCTACCCTCCAGCAAGAGAAAGGGGCTGAAAACTAAAACCGCATTGGAGTCAAAAGGCCAGAGGCAGTCCCTGTGATAGAGGAACACGGGGACTTCTGTCCTGTCCCCTCCCCCCAACCCATTCCCCTCACTTTAGCTCCACTGTTTCCACAAGCTGGTGCAGCCTCAGTGTGTCCTCTCGAAGGTCCTGGTAAAGGGACTCATCCTTCATAATCAGCAGGTACAGATCCTGGGGAGCAGAGGAGAGAGAAGGTGAAGGCAGGGGTGTCATCCCAAGCATCACTATCAGCAAGGGCTGGCGCAGGGTCTCCATGCCTTGGAGCACAGAGGGACCGTATAAACTTAAGGCCCACAGGCATCTTCTTCCAGGTACCCAGCTTGAGGAGTATGGCTCCTTCAAAGGGGTCCCCTTCCAGAGCTAATAGCCTGCTCACCCGCCTTCTCTTCCCAGGCCCACCTTGATGATGCGGCCGGCCCCCTCTTCCTCCTGCAGCAGCCCCTGGTAGGTGTCCAGGAAATGAAGGAGCATGGCTAGACAGGCTTGCTTCCGACCCAGCCCCTCGGGGCCCTCCATGCCTCCTGCCCAAACAAAGCTGACCCCTTAGTTAAGAAAAAGCCCCAAGCAGGGAGACCTGAAGAAACTGGGAAGGGAGATGAGAGGCAGTGGTTGCTTAAGCCCTCCCAAATGCTCTCTAGGCTTGGGGCCAAGAAGAAAGGAGATCCAGGTGTCCCTGGAGCCAAGACCCCCTCATGCCTCAGCCCAGGTATTTTTCTCACAGTAGGTGTGGATGGCATCCACTTGACCACATCCATCTGACCACATCCTGCCTGTTTGAATTTCACTTGAGGATACCCTACCAGGACCCACCCAACCTCTGACTGGCCCATAACCTGGAGCTGGTAAAGGCCAATGATCCTTACCACAAACCTGACCATACCTCAGTGTAAGGCCCGTTGTTTCTAAGAGAGTCTATGGTATTCTACACAGTGGCCTGACATTTACAATTAGATCCTAAAATAACTCAGCAAGAGGCCCTATGCTTACATGAGACCCTATGAATAGCTCAGCCAGTGCTTGTCTCTAGCAGACCTTACTAAAGCATAGCTGTGACCTGATGTTTACATCGGACCCTATAATAACTCACTGGGCAACCAGATGTTTAGAGCAGCAATCCAGTGGGGGGGAGAGGCACTCTTAATAGAATAATAACACCTTACACTTGCAGAGGGCTCTGCAGTCTCCAAAGCACTCCCACATCTACTATCAGATGATCTCCACAGCAGCCCCATAGGTAGGCAGGGCAGGTGCTATTTACCCCCTTTTACAGAAGAGGAAACTGAGGCTTTAGGAGGTTGAGTGGTCTGCCCAAGGTCACGCAGCTGCTGAGTAAAACCCCTGGAATTGAAACCAAGGTGTATTTTCTAGGGAAGAGTGGAGGCCCTGACATCACACATTGGGTAGGGGGAGTGGCTTCCTCCCGACCTCCCCTTTTGCAGGCTCCATAAAAGGATATTACTGGTGTAGCTCCTGCAGAAATTTCTCCGTGGGGAGGAAGAGAGAATGGGTGAGGACGATGTCATCCAGCAGGATATCTGTAGAGATCAATTGGCACCACTGATGTCAGGCGGGCACTTGTAGGGCCCGACTGGACACTCACTACCCTCCCCCCACCGCCGCCTCCTAGAGTGAGTTCTCCTTAGCCAGGCTGGAGCCCTGGCCACCTGCCCCGTCATGCTCTGCACAAGCGCGCACGCACACGTGTGAAGGTTCTGGGCAGCCGCTGCGGGGGTGGGGTTGGCAGCTGCCAAGGCAGCTGGAGGGAAGGAGGGGGCGCCTTTTGGTCACGCCCACTTCTCTTCAATGGATGTGGGAAGCTGGTCAGATAATATAGCAAACTTGAGATCTGCCTGAAAAAAAGAGGTAGAGGTAGACCACAGAAGTGTCTCTAGACAAAAAGAACTTCCAAACAGAGGTTAGAGTCAGTGGTGTGTGTGTGTGTGTGTGTGTGTGTGTGTGTGTGTGTGTGTGTCTGTGTGTGTGTGTGTCTGTGTGTTCATCCCTCCTGCCCTCCCTACTCTCTACCTAACAACTTTGAGTTCCAACTAGGCAGGTGAGAACCAGCCCCATTAAAAGGGAGAGGGAGTGATTGCCCTCTCTTTGATCCCAAAAGCCTTTAAGAAGAAACCCTGTGTCCCCCAGATGCCCAGAGACGGAAGGGTTAATGATGGAAGGGTGGAGGGGAGTGGCTCTCACCACCCTTTTCCCCTCCACACCCCCATCTGGGCCTGGCTCAGCCAGTCAGCCAGGTACAAGGTCGCCCTGACTTGCAGCCAGCCCTGGGGTGGGGCAGGGCAGCCTGGCACACACAGACAAGCAGGGCGCAGGGAGGGAGCCAGGTGTCCTCACCAGGACAGGTTAGGGCCAGGTCCCCAGACACTGCCCCCAGACAAAACCAAGTCTTCTGAGTCCCTTGGCTCACCATGCCCTGGCCTCTGATTCAAGCCATGAAGGTAGAGGAGGAGAACCAACACAAGATCCTCTATTTTAACTACTGCATTTCACAAATGAGAAACTGAGGCCCAGAGTTGGGAGGGACTTGCCTGGAGCTGGAATAGGAACCCAGACTCCTGAGTCTTTGTTCTTTTCTCGATCTGCCCGAGGCAACCAGAGTGTCGGGGTAGAGCACGGTGGGGCTGCTTAGATGTTTGTGAGCCTTTGGCTGATTTGGGAATAACTTCTGTAAGTCCCCCTCACCTCCCACACACCCTGGGAAAAAGCCAAGATGGCTTGAGAACATTGGTTATATTGGAGAATATCAGAGTGGTAGGTTAAACTAATTCTCATTTACTAACTGGTTCCCCAAACCAGTTACTCTGGGGATCTAGCTTGCCAGCCCAGATAATAGGATGACAAGCAACTCAAGAGTCCTTTCCCAGGGGAGACCAGGCACAGTGTGTGGCACCAGGCCCCTGTGGAAGGGGAAAGACAGTTTCTCCCTTTTCCTCTTTGCCCAGCTACCTTGCTATGCTCTTAAAGTGAGGCTGAGAGCCCCAGACCCGACCTCCGGCCCCAGGGATGGTGACAAGGAATAGGGATGCCCAGCATCGTTCCTATCTATCTCACAGGAGAGCTCAGCCAGAGCAAAGGAAGAGGAACATGGGGCAGAGTGGGGGAGATGCTGCTATGGGGGCTACAGTTTGGCGTCTGTCTCTTCCAAGCCAGGCTCTGGTCCAATGCACAGCCTCCCCAGGGAATGTGTCATAGAGACACAGGGTGTGTGGTGTAGGCGGGAAGTTATGGTTAGGAGAGCTGTGTGTGTCTGATATTTTTCTAATTAAATCCAAAAGGTGTCAGCTCCCCAGGGCAATGACAGCTGAGCCAAGGAGAGGGCCCAGGTCTTGAAAAAAAATCTAGGGGGTGGGGGATGTAGTCCCATTCCACATGCCTAGGTCCAGGCTCCCTACAGAGGTCTGAGAGCAAAGTGTGAAACCCCCACCTTGAGGCCCTCAACCAGGGCTCCCCACCCTCAGACCTTGCTGGGCTTAGTGAAATACTGAGAGGCAGACCTAAAGGCCCACCAGCCTTTTACCTCCACCACCAACCGGCAATTTGGGGTCTCGGTTTCCTCAAAGTTCCCTTAGTAGGGGTGCTGGTGGGGAGTGGTGAAATAGTATCATCGTTTAGGGAATAAGCTTCTCAGGGTGTGGCTATTATTTTTTAAAGAGGCCGTATGCTGAGGCCTACCTTGGGAAGGGCAGGAGTTGGTGGAGCTCAGAATCCCCTCCATGCTGCAGGGTCCTGCTGTCTGTCTGCCCAGCCACCTCTCCCCCAACAAACACCTTCTGAGTCAGCCCCCAACTAGAATGCCTCCTTCCCCCTCAAGCTGCTAAGGACAATGCATCCCTTTGCCGGGCCGAAAGGCAGCTTGGGCCTTGCGCCTGTCTGGCATTGCCCCACTGAGTGGGCCAGCCCTGTGCTCTGGGGTTTCTAGACAGAAGCAGGGACTCCGGGAACATCTCTCAGGTCTCAGGCAGCACCTCTTGGAGTGAGGGGTGTGAAGCACGGTGTGCTCTGGGCAGCTTCCATCTTAGGGTGTCAGGCCTTAATTTGGGGCCACAGAAGGAGGTAGTCAACCTCCGGGACCCATGAGAGTCTGTGGGTAGAATGTCCAGGGGAAAGGAAGGGTGGCTTGAGGTTCAGAGAAAGAGTTCGCCTTCTTCTCCAGCCAGTGGGTGAGGCTGCTACAGGGAGGAAGGTGGCACAGCCACTTCCCTTCTGCAGAAGGGTCTGTTCCTCCCCTAGGCCGCTGCCCCACTTCAGCTGACCGCTCGGCCCCACACCGAGGCTCCCGCCATGGCGCCACCCCCACTCTCCAAGGGCAAGGAAGAAGAACCGGGTAACAACCCCCAACTCCGGGATGGAGGAGCCTTACCTGAGGCGGCGCTGTCCCTGGTGGCCCCTCCAGCGAGCCGCTCCAGAACCCGGTTCAGAAGATGCTCCGGCCGCTCGGGGGCGCCCAGGGGGGCCCAGGGCGGGGAAGTCAGGGGCTCGCCGGGGGACAGCTCGTCAGAGGAGTACGAGGAAGGCGAGCGCAGGGGTCCCCCTCCCCCGAGAGGCCCGGTCCCTGGCACCTCCTCAAGCTGCAGCCAACAGGGCCCCCCGCTGCCGAGCTCCTCTGCGACCCCCGCCGGCTCTCCCCCTTCCTCTTCAGGGGGCGGCTCCAGCCCCGGCTCGGCGGGGGGCTCCCGGAGGAAAGCGGGGAGCAGCAGGCGAGACACGCTCTGACGCCGCTGCAGCGGCCGCAGTCCCCCGGCTGGACCGCTGCCCCCACCGGGTCCCCCGCCCCCGCCAGGCCCACCGCAGCTCCCCGGACCCCCGCCGGGACCTCCCGCCACCGTTCGCCCCGCCAGCTGCGACGTCTGCTTCTTCAAAAATTTCTCCAGTGGCTTCATGCCCTCCCCCCCCCCCGCCCCTCTCCTTGGGGCCGCCGGAGGACCCAGGTGTCCCAGGCGCGGGCGGGGGGGGGGGGGGGGGGGGGGGGGGGGCGGGGACACGATGCTCAGAGCCGGAGGGGCAGAGCGGAGGGCCGTGCCAGGCGCCGGACTGGGGGCCAGAGGAGCCCGAGGCTCGCTGGCCGGGGTCCAGTGGCCAGTGGCCCGGGGAGGTGCCAGAGGGAAGGAGTGTCCGCTGTTAGTGGCCCCCCATGCCGGTTGCAGCTGGCACGCGGCCCAGAGGGTGGATAGGCTGCGGGGCCAGTGCCCGGGGCTCTGCGCTCCTGGGCCGGGCTGCGGCGGCAGAGACAGCGGGCGGAGCGCAAAGCTGAGAGAGGACGCGGCGGCGGCGGCGGCGGCGGCTGCGCTCCTGGCCAGGGGGGAAGGTGGCAGAACTGAGACCGCGCCCCCTCTTCCAGTCTCCGCCCAGTCCCCGCCCCTGCCCCTTCTGGCCCGCCCCCTGGCCCGCGCGAGGCTTGAACTTGGGCGCTGGGGCTGGCCGAGAGGGAAATAGTGAAGGGCTGAATGGGATTGGCTTCAGAGCAGATGCAGAAATTAAGGGCAAAGGTGATGGAGTGATTTAGCAATGGAGAGAGATTCCTGGCTTGGGGGCTTACAGGGGCTCTTAGTTTCATTTCAAAGAAGTAGGGCAGGCCTGTGGCCTGCAGACTTGGGACTTGTACTCAGGTGAGACCTACAAAGATTGCTGGTTGGGTGTCCATCACCCTCAACCCCGACACTATGCTCTGTTGCTATATTTGTGATTTTTATCTTCCTTCTATAAGAAGGGCTGGGAAGGCCTGAAGTGGATTGGCATTGGCACTGGGGGCGGTGCCCATCTGCCCTTTCTGGTAGGGCACAATAGGTGGTGAAGGCCTGGCTTGTGAGAGGCAGGTGCTGGCAGGCAGGTAGGAGCCAGGCAAGGAGCAGCAGCAGGTTGTGGCAGGTCTAGTTGGGGTGAGGAAAAGAGACAGGAGGCAGAGGGGAGGAGACAAGGAGCACAAGGGCACCTGAACCCAGCCAGCAGCAGGAGAAATTAGGACTGTGGAGATGAGTGACAAGCTCCAGAACTGCCAGCCAATATCACTTAGTGTAGAGCCCCTCCAGGGTGGACATAGCCATGGAGTAGGGCAAGTGGTGCCAATTTGCACTCTAAATGATCTTTATTCCTGATGCCTGTGCCTGGAGCATTCTGTCCCTAAAGATACACTGCCCCAGAAAGAGGTGGGTATAGAGAAACACTCAGTGTAAACACATCAAGGTTAAAGTAACAAGGTGGGGGAGTGGCACCAGGTTCCAGAGAGATTGAAGCTCCTTGGACAATGCCCCACCCCTGTTTACCGTGCAGGGACCAGGCAGGGACAGGAATGCTAAAGGCTGGGAGTGGTGGTTGAACTGCAGGGTGTGTACTCCACACGTGTCATCGTGTGTGCATATCTGGTCCTATGTGTGCTAGAGCATGTGTTTACAGAATTAAAGCTTTGCACACCCATCTGTTTGTGGATTTCAAAAGGGAACAGTAAAAGGGAAAGAGCAGTTTTGGCTAAAAAGCTGGAATAGAGATCCGAGTATCAGCTTGCTGGGCTCCCTTTATTGGATACCCCACTATCCCTGGGGTTAAGAGGAGAAACTGGCTGGAGTGGCTAAGAGCTCCCCAGGCATTTTGTGAACCAAATAAGAAGAGGAGAGGGCTCCACTCCGAGCACATGCCACAGTTACCAGATTAAGCGGTTGCCTTGGTAACCTCCTCTCTGGGCAGGATTTGGGATTGTCAGTTAGGAAGGGGAAAGATTTGGGGAGTGTGGAGGGTGTGGGGGCTGGAAATAAAGGAGGCAGAGACACTTCTGGAAACTGAAAGCTTGGGGAGCAGGACCCCAGCACCCCTGCAACTACTCAAGGATATCAGGCAGAGACTGAGTTCAAGGACTTGAATGAGGAAGGAAAGCCAGCATGGAGTGAGTCATGGCCCTCCTAGAAGAGTGGTTCTCACCCCAAGTGCACATTGGAATCCAGGGGAACTCAACAATACTGATGCCCAGGCCACAGTCCGAATCAATTACATCTTTGAGGTGAGGCTGAGGTTTATGGTATTTTTTAAAAGATCCCCAAGTGGTGCTCACTTTGGCAGCACATATAGCAAACCTGGGATGATACAGAGATTAGCATGGTCCCTGTACAAGGATGCCACGTAGAAGATCCCCATGTGATTCAAACAGCCATGGTTGAGAATCACTGCCCTAGAGGGACAGCCCAAGCAGGCTGTCGATGCTAGGAGACAACTTCAGGATTCTAAGACCTTACCCATAAGGTAGCAAGCCTGTGTGTTGACCGCGCAGGGGAGAGGGGGCTGGCATGGAAGAAATAGAGGGGAAGAGAGTGATAGGATTAACAACTGTGAGAAGATGGAAGCAAAGAACTCTGAGAGCCCAGCCCATGGACTTCTAGAAGGGAATAGGGCAAGGCTACATAAGGCTGATCTGCCCCTCATACTTGCTTTCTGCCCACTGAAAGGCAGGCTGGTAGGGCAGAGAACCTGGGGGCTTTGTTGAGTTTGAGTTTCTTCTTGCTGAGCTTGTTACCAGGGCAACAGAGAGCAATGGGATCTAACTGCAGGACTGGGGAAGCAAGAGGCAGGGGTGAGGAGGAAACATCTTAACAGTCATCCCTCCCGCCAGTGTCCTACCCCCAAGGATGCCTGGCATTCTTTGCATGACCCCCAGGAGATCAGGGCCATAGTTACCCATCACCCTGTGGGGAGGAGGAAAGCAAATGGACATGACTAAGAGGAATTAGGGGTAGGGGGAAAAAGAATCATGGTCCTCTGCCTCAAGCAGTAGCACCAAGGGATACAGGGGGAGTCCCAACTGTTTTAAGGTATACCATGATGTCCATGCCCCCGGTGCACAAGGATTTGTGGTCCAAGAACAGATGCCACTAGCTCCACATTAAATTCAATTGCTCCCCCCACTGGGCATCACCTCTGTAGTAAACTTCACCCCACCCAGGATCTGGAAGAAAACAGTCACTTCGAAGCTAGGAACTGGCCTGCACACATCAGGGGCTCAGTGAACTAGGTAACCGGCAGCATTAGCCACAGCTGATGGTCTCAATAGTTCCGCTTTACCTTTACTAAGGTTAATAGAAGCCTCCCTCTTGGGCTGTGGTTCTTGATACTTCAGTGCCAGAGTGTCTTTACAAGAAGAAAGCTTAGCTACCTGTGCCTCCCCCTGGTACAGTTGTATTGACTTTGGGCACATTACCCTGGGAAGGGAAACTCACTTGCCAAACACTAACAAAGGTGAAAGGGTAACTACATGTTCACGTGGGTAAGTTGCATCGCACTAGTTTTTTCTGTCCCTGATGCTTCCAATCAAAGGGACTGAATAATATCCTGGATCCATGTGGCAATGTAGTTAGGATAAGATAGCCAATGGGGAATACTGATACAACTGTGGGTTCCCCACCTCTCAGGGCTTCCATTTCATAAGTCTTGAGTTGCCTTGAGTTGTGACCGCAACTCTGGGGAGTCAGCAAGTTCTCTACTGTCCCTCCCAAATCAAGACTCATGCAAAACACTGGCAAAGGAGCCAAGTTTACAGTCTAAATTTTATTATCTCCAAGTCACAATGCTGATCACAAATGTGCACCCTTTAAAATAGTAACAAACAAACAAACAAACAACAACACCACCACCACACATGGAGAAATTCTTGCAATGAAACACAGTGGACCAACAGAGACAACTGTCACAGTGTCTTAAGGTCTGGGAATCTGGGCATGCTGCCCACAGGCTTGAGGAGACATCTTCAGGTTTAAGGCAAAGGGAACAGCCTACAAAAGGCACAACCACCAGCTACCCCTAGAAGAATCTCTCAGTTATTTCCTCCTTGGGGGTTACAGCTTGAGTGCCTCCCCCCACCCCACACCTGTGACTCAAGAGTGGTTAGGTCAGCTCTTGGAGAGAATAGAGACAGTGACATTACTTGGGGAAACACAGCCACCACCATCTCCCTCAGGTTCTGTAGGACAGGGACAGTGGCCAAATTACCCCTGGCAGACACAAGTGCTGCAGTAATAGGGATCTCTTCCACAGAGGCAGCAGGGGAGTGGTTCAGCGCCATGGATAGGGAAGAAAAGGAAGAGGAGCCCTTGCCCCGAAAATGACTGGCTTCCTTAGGCCTGAAGCCCAGATGTGGGATCTTCTGTTTGCAGGGACAGGAGCAGAACTTGGGGAAAATCAGGTAGTAACATCTAAAACACTTGTAGCAGGAAAGACATGGAGAAGAGCAACTGCGAAGTATAGGGCAGACCACTTGCTGGACAGTATCTGCCTCTAGAGAGATGTATTGGTCCACAGCAACTGGAAAGGGGGTGTGGTAGGAAGGATGGAAAGAAGAGAAGCACAGGGACCTCTAACTCCACTTACCTCCAAGACTGAGCCCTGAGGACTGTGTGAATACAGACCCTTAAGGGGCAAAGGCTTACTCCACTCTCCCTTTCTCACAAGGGTATCTGGACTGCCATCTCTCCCCACTGTAGAGACTCTGCCCTCAAGTAGAGGACTGACACCTACACAGTACAGGGACTGATGGAGGCTCAGACTCCTGAAAATCGAAGTCAAGACGAAGGGCTCCTACCACACACTTTGAACTTTTCTCCACAATGAGACACTCTGTGGACGGCTCTGCTTCGAGGGTTAGAGGAAGTGAGAGAATCCAAGTACAATAACAACGGCCAGACAAAAATGAAAGGCCACCTCTTTAAAGACTTGGTGGGGGAAAACTGGCTGGTAAAACTTCAATTATCTGGGATGCAGGGAAAGACCAAAAGGGAACCCAGAGGAGCTAGCAAATCAGAAGAATGAATTTGTCTCATTTAAAGGCAAAGAGAAAAAGAAACTAAAAGAATATTAATTTAAGAATAATAAGCCAGGCTTTACAAACGAACGTCTTAGGAAACAAAACATACAGGAAGGAGCTTCCCTGGGAGAAGACACTTGAATTTCCCAGGAAAAAGTGAAGAAGAGTAAAAGACATGGGCTTCTAGATGTAGACCCAGAAGCCTGAGCTGGCTGGACCTCTGCTCCTCTGAGCACAGCCAACTCAAGTAAAGAGTGGAGATGGGAGGAAGTCCACTTGTTTAGCCCCTTCTCCAACAGAGTCTGTCCTCAGAGGAAGGCAGGGGTCCTCCTCATTCAGCTGCTTGCTGGTAGGAGCCACCCTATATCTTTGAAGCCCTCCTGGTAGTAAACAGCCAGTTGTATTTCTCTTCTCTCCTGGGTTCTCACCTCTGCTGTTCTGACAGGGGTGGGGAAATGGGAAGAAACATCGTTAATGGACCTTCTGGGCATTTACAAGCTGTTTTCAAAAAGCCACGTTTCTAAATCATGTGTTTTATTATTTTTTTTTAATGTTTATTTATTTTTAAGAGAGAGAAAGAAGGAGAAGGAGCACACACGAGTGAGAGAGAGAAAATTCCAAGCAGGCTCTGCAGTACAGCAGAGATTCTCTCTCCACGTCTCTTTCTCAAATAAATAAACGTTAAAAAAAATAATAGTAAAGATAAAAAAATAAAGTCCCTAACAAAGCAACAATAAAACCCCCATGATCTTTCTCCATGACTTTTAGAACTGGCTCTGCTACAAACACCTCAAATTTAGATTTCCCTTTCCTTAAAAAAGAATGCCCTGCATTTTTCCCCTGCAGATTCCCAAATGAAATTCTGCCAAGTTAACAATGGTTTCTGCTTCAATCCTGCTCAATGCATTCGCAAAACAAAGCGGCTGGCAAATTTTGAGACTC